CGGCTATTTTTTGGTTGCAGCCGTCATTGTTGTTTGGCGGGTCCGGGCTGGGGATTCGAACCCGCCACCTTAGGTGTACATGTCTGGCGCCTTAGCCGGTTGAGCTATAGGCGACGAGCCAGACATGAAGGCAAAATTTTAAGTGAATCCATGCACTTAATAGAAAACGGAATTAAAAGACCCTCTCCTGACGGGAAGAGGTTTCCTGGGTGAGAAGTTGCTTCTCCTTGAACTCTCTGCCTTGACAGTGGACAAATACATGGCCTTGTCCTTCCTGTTCTGAAGCAGACCTGAGACATGACAGAAGTATTCAAATAAGGCCAAGTTCAAAGGGAGAGAGTTCAGCAGAAAGAACAGACCATGAAGGTTGCTGACTCAGAGGTCAGCCTGCACATCTGAAGCTTGTCCACCACCACCGTGAGAATCACTCTGCCTAGCCCCTGGCCTCCTGCACTTGGCAGGTGGCCTTGTGTAACTTTTCCCGGTAGTACAGTCTTAGATAAGCGAGTTCCTCAGAGAGGCCCACCACAGGCCCCCCAGCTTAGTTCAGACTTCAAGTCGGCTTCCTAGAGCGAGAAACGACCTCACCCTTCACGAGTGCCCTGCCTCCCACTATTGTGTTTTTAAGGAAGAGCCTGTCTATCAGAAGAGAACCAAAATAGCATGAGGATTTTTTTTTAACAGAAAAAATACACAAAATTGTACTTCATAAAAGTATTTTAGCATAATGGGCTTTCATCTTCCAAAACAGGATTAACAACTTAATTGAGAACATTTTCTAGCCATTTAGTCTAGTCTGGTATAATCCATGAAATCATTACAATGAAATTTCTTTTCAAAGCACTTCATCATTCAAACTTTTTACTCTCCCAGATAAAGCACTCACCTAGTGAGGAAGGTTTCTAACCTACCTGCCAACATAACGCCTGCTCCTGCCATGTAGCTCCACTCACTTGATGAAAGCAGGTAGTTGTTAGTTAGGCAGGGCCCTGAGATGACTTCAAATTGTTATTTAAAGGAATGTGATGGGCTTTACATTTTAATTCCTTTTCCCCTCCATTGTGGCAGGAACTAAATCAGTTCCTAAAGGATTTTTTTAAGGACACCTTTTCCTGATGATTACTCGGTCTCGTAATGCAGCCTCTTCTAATGAACTAAAACATTTTCTGTTCTGATAAATGCAGAGCACTGGCGTGTTCTCCTATGGATTATATGAAAAGAGATTTTGTATACTCATGTGTGATATTTTGCTTTCAAGCATGGTAGATTTACTTTCTTTCCTCTGAAGTTTTTTTCTCACTCTTTAGTAAATTGAATTTACCAATAAGGGCACTAACATAAAATACTGTATATTATGAATAAGAAGTAACTTTAGATTAGTGTCTAAATTAGACAACAAACAAACAAACACTGACAAAACAAACTATAGCTTTTTATTTGTTAGTATTTTCTGTCATCGAATGTTATGTTTTATAAAGTGTCAGATACGTGATAATTTGATATAAAGCAAGATATTTGAATATTGAAGCTTTAAAATTCATGTAATATAGAATAAGCAATTCAGAAATTGCATGATTTCTCAAATAAGAAGTATAATATAGCCATAGTATGGAAATTTTGAATTTGAATTTATAGCCTCTATCATGAAGATATACCGTTCAATATTAATAGTCTAAAAAGTAAATTTGCTCTTATACCCATCTCTATTGGAACTAAGTTGGGCATCACATTTTATACAACTCTGGGTCTCAGTCTCCCTCTCTGTACTGAATCTTTCTGCAGAAAACTTGGAAGAACAGAACCAATTTATTAAGCAGTGAATAGAATAAAGTTTAGAATTTATGCTTGTCCATTAACATATAATTGATTTCAATTGAAATTCTTTTACGTAACTCTCAGAGATGAAAATACGTTTTGAAGTTTGTTTCTGAACATTGCTGACATCTTCCTCCACCTACGTGATGGTGTTTCGTCTCACTCCTGTCATAGGCGAGACCTGGGAGATGGAACTCAAGTCAGTCTGCTTTTCTCTTTGCTGACAATGCTGATACAAGTTTTGATGTAAAAGTAGGAAGCCGTTTCCCAGGATTCAAATAATGGATGTTCTCAAATTTTCTCCTGTTCTCCTTTCCCTTTACACCCTTACATATTTTTGACAGCACCAAAGGCCTTTTTTGTAGGAAATTATCTTTCTATCCACCTAATTTTCAAATTAGAAATTAAAATGGAAAGATTTAAAATGCTAAAAAATAGAAGTCTATCTTCCAATGCTTTCAGAGCCATGACACCCTGACATGTTCTGCAGCCTCTGGAAAATTTCACCGTGCACTCTTCAGAAGATGAGAGTGGAAGGCAAATAACCTCTTACTTTATTATGAAGTAACCTCTCAGGCCAACTAAAAAGGTCTTGGGTACCTGCAGGCAGTCTTCTGAACATACTCTGAGAACTGCTATCAGCGATAATTAAAATATAATTGCATCTTTAATTATGTATTTGCATATATTCAGATTTGCAAATGCTCCTTGAATAACATAGTTTTCAAAATCTGAACTAGTGGGAAATGGTATTTGTGTGTATATATCAACAAGGTACTTCTCTTTTTTTGTCTTCAGTTATGGAAATTCTTGAAACCCAATACACCCCTGGAATCTCGGATTTCCAAGCAGTGGTGTGAAATTGGTTTCCAAGGTGACGATCCGAAAACAGACTTTCGAGGAATGGGACTTCTGGGACTGTACAATTTGCAGTAAGTAAAATGAAGAATAGTTCAGTATCAATGTGATGCTCCTTTAACTGAAATGGCCACGTGGATCCACTTTGTTATCAGTTTTAAAAGCGTCTTCCCAGCCGGGAGCGGGGGGTCACACCTGTAATCCTAGCACTCTGGGAGGCTGGGGCAGCTGGATTGCCTGAGCTCAGGAACTCTAGACCAGCCTGAGCAAGAGGGAGACCCCATTCTTTAAAAATAGCTGGATATTGTGACAGGGGCTTGTAGTCCCAGCTGCTTGGGAAGCTGAGGCCAGACAATTGCTTGAGCCCAAGAGTTCAAGACTGTTGTGAGCTATGACACCCCCAACCTCTACCGAGGGTGACAAAGTGAGACTCTGTCTCAAAAACAAACAAACAAACAAACAAACAAAAAAAAACAGCCACTTCCCAGAGGACTGCAAGAAAACATTCAAGTACCCTGAGAGGTAACTCAGGTGCATAAAATTTTTAAAAGCTCCTACCACTTTCCCTCTATTTCAACATGCTTCATAGATTTTTAAAGGAAACCTCAAATACATTTAAAAAATTTTTTATTATGAAAAATTTCAAACATATACAAAAACAGAGGGAAGATTGTAAAGAACTTCCTTACGTTGATCACCCAGATTCGGTAATTGCCAATCTTTTGAAATTCTTGCAACATTCTATTTTGGCAGAAAAATTAAATTGAAATCCTACACTTTCATTTCACCCCTCATATTTTAATATGTAGTTTTAAGAAACATTAATATTATTTACATTAATTACAATGCCATTATCATATCTAACAAAATTAACAGTGATTTCTTGGTGTCATCTATATCCAGTCCATATTCCAGTTTCTCAGTTCTCTCAAAAACGTCTTTTACAGCTGGTTTTCTAATGCAATTCCATATAAGATCTACATATTACACTTGGTTAATGTGTCCCTTTGGGTCTTTTTTAATTAGAGCAATCTCTCCCCCCTTTTCCCCTCTTTTTTGTCCCTCTCCCCACCAGTGTCATTAACTTATAGACAGTTCCAGGTCAGTTGTCCTGTAAAATATCCCATGGCCTGGATTTGTCTGTTTATGCTTTTTTTTTTTTTTTTTGAGACAGAGTCCTACTATGTCACCCTCAGTAGAGTGCTGTGGTGTCACAGCTCACAGCAACCTCAAACTCTTGGGCTTACGCAATTCTCTTGCCCCAGCCTCCCAAGTACTGGGGACTACAGGCACCCACCACAATTCACTACCCCTTTTCCTCTGGAATAGAATTTTTTTAACATGTCTAAGCTCCATAAAATATTTTTCATTCATCTAAAATTCAGTAGGCATGGTGGCTCACACCTGTAATCAGAGCACTCTGGGAGGCGGAGGCAGATGGATAGCTTGAGCTCAGGAATTTGAGACCAGCCTGAGCAAGAGGGAGACCCTTTTTTCTATTCTTTTTTTTTTTTTACTAAAAATAGAATAACTATCTGGCCATTTGTGGTCTCTGCTACTTGGGACACTGAAGCAAGAGGATCACTTGAGCCCAAGAGTTTGAGGTTGCTGTGAGCTATGATGACACTACAGCACTTTACCCAGACCAATAGACTGAAATTCTTTCTTGAAAAAAAGATTTGAATACCAGTGAATATTCTCCAAGGAAAATGCATTTGAAAAACATCCTCTGTCATCTCCTGAGTCTCTGCTTTCTATGCCCTTTAACTGGCCTGGCGCCTCACCAAGTCCCAGCACCCAGGCTCCTGCCTTCTGAGACCCACAAACGCTGAGCGATCCGGCCTGCTCCTCTGTAACTCTTCTTAGAAATAAAGTCCTTGGCAAAGCTCTAATGACATTGTCAAATGTACTAAGTACATTTCTAAATCTGTCTGACTTTCACAGCTACTCTAGCATAGCCTTATATTTGGAAAATTCTATTATGAAAAATAGCTCCTTCTCTGAAGGAGCTGGTGCCAGTGGTGATCTTATCTGGTTTTGATCCCTGGACCCACGTGGCCTCACCTGGCTTGCGCACCCAGCAGTGTGCAGCCCTGGCTTTCTCTCCCTTTGACTGCAGGTATTTTGCGGAAAGGGACGCCACTGCGGCTCAGCAGGTTCTCTCCGACTCTCTTCATCCCAAATGCAGGTAATTGCTGAAAATAAAAGGTGGGTTAGGCTTTATAAATTAGATCAGATTAACTTCATCTCTTTATGGCTCTGTTGAGATTCTCCAGAAAGTCAGCTCACCAGAAGTGAGGCTTAAAGCCCTTCTGAGCAAACCCTTTATGACAGATGCTGGAGAGGAGGGTAAAATCTTTGGGTACGTACTGTAAGATTCACGGTGTAGAGTAGCACTGTTCAGATAGGCTGTGTATTTAAAGGGACTGAAAATGTCACTAGTTTACAGGAAGATTAGGGAAGTGGGCGTGGAAGAAGGGCAGGCCTGGGAGAAAGGGTCCAGAGAGGGGCACCGAGGGCTGTGAGGGGGAGAAGGGAAGGCCTGAGGTCGGGAACCAAGTGACTCCGCAATTGCTGATGCTTTTTTATTTTATTTTATTTTTTATAAAATTCCAGATTCTAAACTATTTGTATTTTTCATTTACCTTTCTAAATGTTTTTTCTTTGATTACTTAAAGGGATATCACTAAAGAAGAAATAAGGTATTTTTTTCTTTGCTTTTGTGTTTTATTGCTTTTATTTTATTTTAGGATAAGTATGGGTAAGAATTTTTTCACAAAATAGAAATTTACGGAAAATTTTTAAAAACAAACATTTCTCAAGTTTTTACCCATTAGAGGTAATTCTCTGTAGGCTGTGTTTTAGTAAACTGGAAGCTAAATTAGCCTAATCTGATAGAAAATATCTAAGAGCCTTTCTACCACTGTCATTGAATCTGGTTGGAAAAACATTGTGCAGACTCATCTCACGGCCAAACATCTCACCAGGCATCTCTGATTCCATCCAACCCCCAGAGAAGGGCATTTTGTTTGGAAATTTTGTTGTCCAGAGCAAATTTGCTCTTTTATTAATAAGTTTCTAATTTGATTATTATAAATGGTAGTAAATATGTGTGTATATTAGTTATTTTTCTTATGAGTGCCACTATTTTGCAATCATAGTTATATATGACATTTTTACCCTCAGTATAATGGTAGGTTAGTTGTCAGTACTCATGCTTGCTAAATAAATTCAAAATGTTATCATAATATTATCCAAATTCAGGAATAGGTTGACTGGGGTTTTTTATGGTTCATTAAGTTATATTATCCTTCCCAAATTTACATTTATAATCTTTTATAAAACTAAAAATTCATTTTCTTTTATTTACTTTAAGAAGCTGTTTAGATTTTTGTGAACTATATCTTCTGAACTGCACGTTTCTGTAACATGGAGACTCTGAACTCCCCTAATTACGATCGGCTGGAGCCTGTATGTGCTATCAGGTGGTACTTCCTAGAGGAACGTCTTCCAAAGACGCAAATCCTCCATGGTCCTTTTAAAGTGACAATAAGCTTAAAATATTTCTGATTAACCATTGGAGGAGAGTTAATTTTGTCTGTGAGCCGTTCTCTAAAACAGACCTTCTAGATGTTTCACCTGCGTCAGGCACCAGAGGAGGTATTGGGGGTTTAAGTGACTGTTCTTATTTAAGAAGAGATTAGCGTTTGTGTGTGTGCACATATGTTTTTAGTCATAGTAAAATATCATGCCTTAATTCCTCAAACTACAATAAAATGGAATAAAATTTGTGTATCGATTACTTCAAATTGACGGTAAATGTTACTGGATGCAAATCAGAGCATTTCAAAAATGCTGGTCCTCCTTCACCAGTGTCTGAAAGAAGTAGATATTGATCAATTTTGATATCAGCATAGGTTCGGCAAAGCCCTGAACATCAGGTGTTCAACAAAGAGAAGTTACATGCTAAGGGAAGCCTTTCATGTCTGTCCTTCCGCAAGCGTGACACGTTACTGCCCTTGCAAATACCACCTGTCCGGTCCTAGAGTGACTTGAGAGATGAAGGTGCACTGAAGTGTAGGAGGAGGAATTTTGACTGTTGGTTTTTACGTGCATTTGTTTCTTCCTGACGAGACAAATCCAATCTTTTGGGGCCAGGATCTCTTATAAGTAATCATATGAGTGAAAGTCATTTGGCCTTTTTTAAATTATTTCCAGTGCAAATAGAGATTTAACTTGACAAAAATAGAGACACAATGTATTAAAAGCTTTGTTGAAGAAAATAGATGTTTATAAATTCTTATCTATAAAATTTCCTAACTTCACACACAACTCATTTTAGTTTGGCTATGAGTCTTTTAAGGTAAAAATCTCCTGATGGCTCTTTGGCTGACTATTTGGTTTTTGGTCTAGAAGTTACACTTTAAAACAAGTGACATATTTTAACATGAATTAAAAACAGTTACGTTGAATTACAGCTAGTCATTTGCAGAGTAGACAGTATACATAGTTAAATACCAGTTTTGTGTGATGTTTTTGTGGTTACGTGTTGTGTGTGTCTTAAACAGTGTTTGCCGTGTACTTTAGAGAATCTTCCTTTCTCCTACTTAGATAGAAACTAAGTGTGTTACAACTCTGGCTTTTAAGTTTTATTTAGTTCAAATGTTAACTGTAGTTTTTAGGGTAAAACACTAAATGAAAGTTCTATCAGACACAAAGGAAAGTGGGACATGGCTCCTGCCTTCAAAGTGTTTTCAGTATGGAGGGAACAGGTGGATGCACAAGTACACCAGGTAATGAATGGGATGTGAGGCAGAACTTCCAGAATCCTCCATGGTGGAACATTTTCTTCAGTCTTATTCAGAAGCTCAATAATAAAGCAGATTAAAATGTAGCTGCTATGGCTTAGCTGGAAACGCAACTCAAAGAAATACCACAGTGCCCCCTTCTTCCATCCTTCTTT